CACTGGTCCAAGTACCGAATCAACCCTCAAGAGAATTATTTATCTACTTCTTTCTCATGAAGGAATGGATTCCATCTCGTGTAATAACATTCCTGGCTACCTACTTCATCATGTCTTCAAAATACAAGGAATAGGATTCAGGATCTCAGAACCCATACCGAGTAAATCAAAAGACACAAATCCATAAATAGGAGTCTGTTAAGAACTCAGGATTAAGATCATTCTATATATGACCATCGGTAGACTCAATTAGAATTTCTATACTTAACGGAAATTATTAGAAATTCATATTGTGTCTGTGTCCTTGTTCCACATAATCTCATTATGCGAAATACACTCATTCAATATCTCACCATATTAACAGTGCAGATAACACCGTTCCATTCTAAATGGGAATGACTTGCATTAATAATGTTTTAATTAAAGATTCTGAACTTTAATTAAATTCATTATGAATAATATTTTTGATTATTATTCTTAAATATTATCCTCTCGTATATAACACTTATATACAATGTTTAAGGTCACATAAATAATCATGAAATTTTCATTGATATTCATAAAATATTCACAAATATATACACATAAAAATGATGAACAAACTCTTTTATTAAATAAATAATAAATATCCTATTACATCTTATGCTTCTAGGACACCATTCCCAACAATTATAACCTAGTTTTTTAAAATAGGTAAATTATAATATAATTCAACCTCTTAAGGTCTCAACACTATTAAAAACCTAAAAATACCCCTCAACTCTTTTTTCCTTACCACATATGTCTCCTTCCCCCCTCTGGTCAAATTCAACATGGTCGACACTGGTGCCCGTGACATGCACCGGTGACTGTTAAATACTATAAACACTGTATTTACCCAGAAATAGCATATTTACTGGAAATCAGACAGGCACTGGCGATTGGCGCCGGTGACCGATAAATACCGTATTTACCTAGAAATACCCTGCCTGGTTTGGTTTGTCGTTAGGATTGTGTCATTTGTTTTGAATTGTGGTAATTTGAATTGCGATTTGGACTGGTGTTTGAATACAGAAATAAACTGTAATTTGAATTGCAAAAAAAATCCGAATTGTGTTTGGATAAAGTATTGAAAATTATCATTAGAGTTTTATAACATATATTATAAAACCTAATTGTAGATGACATTAAAAAATATGTAATATATATGGAGATTTGTTCATCTCTTCATTATGAACACATTGAAAAATAATTATCTTAATCGGAATTAAAACGAAGAAAATATGACATTTTTAAGCTTAAGGTTGAGGAGAAAGAATAAGTAACATATGAATTGTTTCACTGTAGATAACAATTGGGATTATTAGAATATAGGGGGTGGAAATTCTAATATTAAGGGCTTGAACTATTATCAATGGTTTGAATTGTCCTCATTTAGTTCTCTACTAAGCATCAATTTGAATACTAAACTATGATTCAAATTCAATTGTTGGGTTTGAATTGTTGAAACAAACAGGAGCATATTTACCTAGAATTCTAACCATCAGCGCTGGCAACCAGTAAATACGGTATTTACCTGAAATTTTGATCACCAGCAATTGGTAAATACGGCATTTTACCCGTAAACATCATATTTGTTGGTTACCGAATCGAATTCGGATGTGGAAGCCTGGGGGATGGCGGATCAAGTATAACAAAAATTTTCATAAAACCTTTGAGATACACTATAGATTATATTAATTTATGCATGAATAAATTAATCACATTAATTTATTTATTAAGAACTCATTTAGGAATAATACCTGGCGGCCGATTAGGATGATAACTTGAGTTCTTTGACCTCGAACAATCCTTGCTCCAAAGCCTTGTGTTTAGAAAACCAATGTCTTCCACGTCAATTCTTAGAATCCATGAAGACGTGTGTGTGGGCACCCCTGAGACAAAACGGATTAGAATAAACACTCGAATTTCCACAAACACCAACGCATGCACGATGTGGAACTTTTGGAGAAAATTTTTTCCTTCCCACAATAAGAGAATTTTGGCC